TTAAGACATAATTATTTATAAAAACATATTTTTTTTAAATCAAAAAAATATTTTTTTTCCAAGACTCATTACGTATTTTATCAATTTTAACAACATTTATTACCCAATATATTACTTTATTAAAAACAAATCTTAAATCTATCAACAAGTAAGGCCGTTCGATAAAAAATAATGCCTTGTTTAACATTTCACACATCGTTAAGATGTTTAAAAACAAATTTCGCGAAATGTTCTTCCATAAAACATTTATTGTGGAGTGCTTCGCGAAAATATTCACATAAAAGTTTGATGTAAGGAAATAAGAATGGTAAATATAGCTATTGTGGGCCAAGGACAATTACGACAATGAATACGTATTCGTAGAACTTGAAACGTTTAACAATTGAATATTTATAGCAACCTATGTTTAACTTTGCGACAATGGTCTCAAAGATGTTGTTTTAAAATACTTTATTTTTACACAAAAATTTAATTTTATACAAGGTGGAGGAAGGAGGAGGTGGAGGAGGAGTTTGATTTATGTTTAATAAAGATTACAAATCCTTGGACTGTTGAAGTGTAAATAAAATCTGCAAGTTACATATAATCGACAAGATAAATGAAAACAATGAACACTTCCATGATTCACAAAGTACTTTAACTTTTGTATAACAATTTCAAAGCTTTGCAGACAATTTGTGTTTCGATCGAGTGGAAAATAAATAAATAAATACGCCTTTCAGTGCATAGCGTGTTTTTAGTATTTTAAACGTTCCGGCATTTTTGCACACTGCCAGATGAAGTGTTTGGGCCGAATAGTTATTACCGTACTATGTGCGGTAAAGCTTTATTTTAGCGCTCGAATGCAGCCGCTACATGTGAACATATCCTTGAAAATATTTTAAAACCGACAATGTAATAACGAACATAAGCGGATTACGGATTACGTTATTGATTGTTTGCTTTGTTTAATTAGCGAGTTATATTAACGAAAAATGTAATAGGCTTTCAGCAAATAGCAGTTATAAATCATATTTAAATTTCCGTGTTTTAAGTATAATTTTTGTTTGAACTATGAATTGCGTTTATGCTTTTTGTAACACAACCTCTTATCTATTTCCGTATAATAAGAAAAATACTTCAACGTTATACGAAAACATTCAGTGCTCGAATGAAATATTTTAATGTAGCTCCGTTAACTAGCAAAGAATTTCCGTCTATATCGAAATGCAAGCACTAACACACGTTACATTGAATGGCATTAAGCTCTGTACAGTTTCAGTCTGAGTGCGTCTAGGCCGCACACTGTTTATGTTCAGAAATAACCGATGTCGGTGCGCTGGTGTACAGGTGTACGCTGTCATAGACTAACTGCTCTCTTTTATCTTGCAACACTAGTGACCTCTAGTTTTGACTGCTCTAGATTGCTCGTGTTTATGTTTTGCGGTTCGTTTAACACTAAAACATTTTATATACAGTACTAGCAGTCGCCCGCGGTTCCGTCCGTGTTATGTGTAAAAAATTAGTAAGTAGCCTATGTGTTTTTCTTGACTACCAAATTTCAGTGAGATCCGTTGAACCGTTCTGGAATAACTATTATATTAACACACGTATACTGCGGTGAACACTTCGGTATTACCTCATTGTCTTGAATTATTCCGTTTTGTTCTATGTACGTAAAATAACGAAGGTTAATGATAAATTTAACCGTGATTTCGTTACATCAGACTGACGTCAAACAATCGTACCGTACGTAACGGTCAAGTGAACACATGCTAATTTTAGGCGTTCAAATAAATAATACAATGACTCACTGCTTGAAAGACAGCTTGAGAATGTTATAATTTTTAAATGAAAATGCACCCAATTTTTGCAGTTACAAGAATTGGAGTGTCTGTATTTACGAAATTTATTGCCTAACTTATAACTAAGAAACAAGTTTCAAATTTTTATATTTCTGTCTGCCTGTCTGTCTGGCTAGACAGATTTTGATGGTACTTTCACTGAAAGGTAACCAAAGTGTGCAATATCTGAACATAAACATTGCCGCGGTCTAGACGCACTTAAGTCTGAAATTTTGCAGCGCTTATGCCACTCAATGTTAGTGCTTGCATTCCGATATAGACGGAAATTCTTAGGATGTTAATATTACAGAAACTTTTTTATTATTACGCTGCTAAAGTAACGAGTGACCGCTAGTGTTTGATAAATTAACAGACTAAGTTTAATCCTAACGTTTTTGGCCAGTAACTTCTAATCCTATTTTCATAAATAGAAAAAACATTTTTCAAAGTAAGATTAGGAGCAAACACCATACGATTTTCAGATAAAATCACGACGTTTGATGACAAATTAAAAAAGAGATGTTTACTATCGTAAGCATCATAAATATCTCAACCATATTTCAGCCGCCCAGTCGACGATATCGTCATATTCATGTCATGTCACCGCACACGACTACTGACATAAATGTCCAAGTCATCCGGTTACTGGACTATACGTAACTGACAAGACCTACGCACTATTTATTTGGCCCGTGGATTTATTGATAGTTGGACTTTTATTTATGTTCTGCTACGCGTAACGTTGAAAATAGAATTGGATGAAAATTAATATATTAACGACTTACCTTGACTGTTTGTCGAACAGTCACGCTCAGCCGTTTAATTGGTACTTGAACACTAGCTTTGTGAATTTTTGTAATTTTCTCATATTGAATTTAAGAGGCTCCCTTAATCATCTTGACCTATAGTGCGACAGTTATAGTCTACTGGGACGGCTAATGATTTCCATAATAAAGGTTAGATAATTTATAAACAAACCATAATTATATTCAGAATAAGATGTCAAATGGTTTTCTATGATTTCCTGATTTTGTCTTTTTATTCCGATTTTATTATGTTACAAAACTGTGTGGTAAAATCAATCTATAATTTTAAAATAAAACATTATACTTACGATAGTTTTGACACGTCTTTACATCAGTTCTGAGCTGCATTATGACGTGTCAGGTGACTCGTTACCCGCAGAATGCAACGATACCACCGTAACTGGGTTTATGGCCCAGTTATTTTAAAGTTTTATACCACGATAAAATAACACGTCGCTGTTTGTTTTATGATAAGACAGCCGGCATGTCGGGAAACTGTTGCGTAGCATTGAGCTGCAGATTATTATGAATATAATTTGATTACTACTGTTAGAAACATATCTAAGATTGTTTACGATATTCAACGAACTAGTACTAATTTTTAAAAATGAATTTCTCGCATCGCCCCGACATTATTAGATCACGTTTTAGAAAATAGAGATTAAATTGTGTTCAAAATTTAAGTAAAATAAACTATTACATCTATACTAGAATTAACATAAACAGATATTCATTCTATTAGACTATTATTTCTCAAACAGTATGAAACATTTTGTGAAGAAACACGAGTTATTTAAAATTGAAATAATCGTTTGTTTTAAGCCAAAACATATTGTACGTATTGTGAGTAAGAAGTAAAAATGTTTTGCCAATATTTAACTGGCGCTCGAAAACTAACCTCTAAAAACAATAAAGCATTGTTCAAACAGAAAAAAATTATGGTCCACGTTCGGATGTTGTAATTGGACTGGGTAATGTTTAACGGCAATATTTTGTCTAGTGTCTAGACTTCGCTATATGTTAGATACGGTATTTATCACTTTTAGCTGTACATAAATCATGTCTCATTTAAATAATGATGCATCATCGAGTATCTTTTATTTTTACTTTTTTATTTTAAATTACGTAATATTTAACTCGATATTAAATATAACAACATTACATAATAACACAACTTGATGTTAGTAATTATTAATTTTAAAAAGGTTCCAGTTTACACAGTTTATAGGGAGATATATTCAACATTATTAACAATCATAACGTAATAATTCCTAATATTTATAAATAAATAACTTCAAAGATTCGTAGCACAACATATTATTATCATAAAAAAGCACTTCAGGCGATTCATTGCCAGAGCCGCATTGTAAGCAACAATCTATACGCTTAGTAATGGTGATTCGATCTGTGACGTCATGGACCCCAGCGTTCATTACCAATTGTCCTACTTTACAACGCTTAGCCTAACATTTGTCGATTCCAAAGAACCACAGTATAGTGAAATCCAAACTTTATGATGGCTTGCAATGAACACTCAACTCTTCACTCACACACACGGGCAACTAATACTACTGACATGAGCTTGCAGATAATCACAAGCACGGGTAAAGATTGAATCTTAAAATACCCGTTCAATCTTGACTAACCTCGACGCTAACAATTCCATCTTACATATCTAAGAACAGACCAGCTGTTAATATGTATGAACTTATTTTTTAGGTTGATTAGAATTAGCTCTTTCCTTTAAAATTGGGAAGACAATGAGTAAACTTCGACCATAAAAAATAAATAGCTACTCCGTTTATAAGGTTTAAGTAAAGGTAACATTCCAATTGAAATTCTTGGTACAACATTTCAAGGGCAGTGGATACCTAAATTTAAAAAAAAATGTTGTAATCGAATCTTGAAATGTCATATCCGGCATCAAAATAAACATTTTACTCATCGTAAATACAAAATGTGTAAAACATATCTTGATAATCTGACCGAATAACTACTGAATTACTCATAGTTGTATTTAAATCAGCGGTAAATAAATGAAAAATTATCCAAAATGTGGGTCGCGATGTCACTCCATCGGTCACCGAGATCAAACATTTTGACGCGCCAAGGCTCGCACGCATCATTCACTATCAGAAAAACAACATTTTTTAAATCATAACTGAGTTATTTATAAGGTAATCTGTTAGATTATCGTCCTAGACAGTTTAAAGATAATATGATATTAAAAAATTCTTCGAGGCGACTGATAAAATCCGCTATTTTAAGCAATCGAACCCACAATCAAAAAGATTAAAAGATTTAAGAATTTTTGTATCTATTTGCAATTATGTAACTGTAAATATAAATGAAAGATATGTTTTATCCTCAGGACCGTGAGAGCAACTTGTCAGTGCCAGCCCGCTGGGAGGACAGAAACCTTCGCACCTACCTCAACAAACACGACGTTGGTTAGTAAAAGATTTTTATAAACTCAAACTTTAAAATCACGTCCTTTCTCTTTTTGATGACATTAAATTGGTCCATTATAATTTACTAAAGCTATAATGTAGAATTATATCATTTACATCTGGATATTGATTGGATAAAATTTATGTTATCAGAGAAAGCGAGCCGTTGGATCGGCGGTATCTACGACTACGGCGCTCGCGCGTGGAAGTGGGGCGGCGAGCTGAGGAGCATGCACTACCAGTCATTCTCCAAGATGAAGCGACTCTCCCCCGAAGAGCTCAAGTGGAACTGCATCGCCATGATGCCCGAACTCCTCTATAGGTAACAATCTTAATTAATCTGTAGTTATTCATTCATTCAACAGTTGGATATGTTACCTTCAAGAACATATTTCTTGGAAACATTCTAACTGAGCTCCGGACTTATGCTAGGACTTATTTACGGCATTGGTCGAACAATGGGATTTGAACCCACCACGTGATCAGATTAATCTTGAGGTAAATATTTTTTAAGTAGGTTTTGTTAAAATACTTTGAATTTCTAAAGAAAGGAAAGTAATTAATAATTCTTTGGATACAATAAAGCTAGCAATCTTGTAGTTTAAATACAAACTTCCTTTTCTTTCGATCCCATTTAGCTTCTAGAAGTTAAGAGAAATGCACAACGCAACAAACAAACAATTGTCTGTAAAGCTCGTAGCTCGCAAGTTTAACTAGCTCTCGGAAGAAATAAGACGTGGAATTTGTTAGTTCCGACTTGTTAAAACTTTAAATCGAAATTTTTAAGACCGGACCAACAACTTTTAAGTAGAAATAAGAACTCAGCTTCGTTTTTTTTGAGGTTTCGTATTTTAAAAATACTAATCAAATAATTTTATCTTACTTCTTACTAATATTATTAATGTGAGTGTTTAGATGTATGGATAGATGTTAGAAAGTATCTCCCGAAGAGCTGCATGGATCTCGTTGAATTTGGCATGGATGTAGAACAGAAAATCCCATTTCTTCCAATGATCATCGAAGGCTCTTTTATCTTTGTGATCAATAGCAAAGCTTAATATCTTCACTAACTCTAATAATAGCAAAATGGGGATATTAAACTGATAACTATAATCATTACAGTACTGTTCACCATTAATATATTTTATCTCTGAACCACCACAATCTAAAAGCAAAATATATCACGTTATCGAAGAGCAAATGCAATTAAGGGCAGTTATTACAAAAGTTTCGCCACAACCCTCCGTTAATAAAGTATGAGTCTGCATTAACGTAACAAATGTCAAGTTCGTGACAAAAGCGTAGTGGGGAAGCGAGGTTCATTGTGGCGGACGGTCTAAGCTAGAGACACGCGCGGTGGCTACGCTCTGCGCTGACCCTAACTACAGAGTTCGCTGAATTCATTTGCAAAATGAGCTATAAAAATACAAGTTATAAGAGGTAGCGTAATCAATGGCTTGTTTATTTCATTTTGAGCCGACTTCAATAAAAAGGAGGTTGTCTATACGTACTTTTTTTTAATTTATAATTAAACAAAGTAATTATTGATCTAGTAAATCTGTAAGCATAACCTTGTAGTCTCGTTCATCATTACTAGGCAAAAATTGCTAAGCTTTTTAACAAAATTATTACAACACTTCAAAACCGCTGACGCTTACTTCTTGTTACCTTACTAAATTTATAACAAACAATGGTTTGCCAAACCGATTATGTTTAAAAAGATCGATACCGGGAATCGGCATAAAGTTTTACGAGCTGCTGTGGAGTCAGATTATGTCGCTCCATTGTCCTGCCGACCCCATGTCCTGCACAGATGGCGATGTGTGATTTGGAAATTTATTTTGGGATTATCGACACATATTCCAGAGGGTTCTTAATTTGATGGCAACATCCAATCGGAATACAAATATACTTTGCAACAAATAAAAAGGAAACTTTATTTATAAACTTACAGAATAGAAGGCAGTTATTATTACACTATTTTATATTAAAATTGTAATAGTTTTAATTTAGTTACCATAAATATATTAGTTTATCAAATGTGAAAGTTTATTCAAAACAACTAGTACCAAACTTATACCTTTTGCTGGGTAGCAACTTATGTTTAAATATAAATGCTTGCGATACAGTTCAAGGCAAAGGGATCAATTGGCAGTACGTCGTGAGAGCAATCGTAACATGAATATAAATTGATGTTGAAGTCAAGCGAATTGACTTTTAATTCACACCTATCTAGAGTGCAGTTAACAGCCGTGACTAGACGTAACTGATGATGATTTGATTGACTACTTATGAGTACGTGACACATATGAAACGTGACTTCGACGCACATTTCGTCATAAAACTTGACACTAATTAGGATTTTGGTTTTAGGAATTTTCTGTAACATAAAGTTGAAACTAAGGGTGTTATTCTCCACCCAAAATACATGTACGACATTGTATTACTTTAAAAAAACATTCTATAAAATGATTCGCAGATGGGCTCCACGTAGCTGCATAGAGGCGAGACAATACATATGTCAGACGAAACTCCGCAAAGTGCCGAAGACGAAGTTAAAAGACCTGCGGCGACGCTGGCAGCGTATGGGCAAGATCAACGAAATCACCGCACCAAGCGTCAGCCGCGAGGTCGACGACCCCCGCACTAATGACGTAACCACCAACCCCGTCGACAACCCCAAAGCATTCGACCTGCGGCCCGCGCCGGTGTACGGACCGCGAGGCAACAGACGCGAACCGAATCCGATACGAAACCACCAGAAACCCTACGATCTGAGACCGAACGAACTGAAAAAGAGATCCAGACCAAACGCCCGTAGGCGGCTCACCAGACCGTTCCCTGGGTAAGGCAAAGTTTTTTACACTAAAATAAGTTAATATTTATAGCAAAGGATTCGGTACAAGATTTTTTTTTATATCTGCTACATATAGTACGTATCACAGACGTAGTAAGAATATTGATACTTTATTTATATAAATCTTTAGAAATTTAAATTTATATTCCAGTTACAAATGGAACCGGCACGATCCCGAGGCTTCGTTCCGGTACAACTCTGAACTGTTGCGGTCGGGCCGTACTGGGCTCAGCCCGCAACAGGTCAACGGGCACCTGGCGAGGCTGCGGCACTTGCGCGACCGGCAGATCAGACGCCGACGGCTGCGCGAAAACGACGACTGGCTCGTCAACGACGTCAGGCAGGTGCTCGTGCCTACGCACGCTCGCACTTACACCGTCGACAACAACATCAGCGCCTTGCACCCCAAGGCCATCGTCGAGGAGTTCGATATGATGCCGCGCCCCATAGTACTGCCGAGACCCGCGCGTGGCGCTGGCTAAACATCTACTAATGTAGTAGTAGGAGCTATCATTTTCCGCAGCTCGTGTACTTCTACTTATTTGTATTTTAAATTATTATATTTTCTATGCTTTGATTCCTATATCACTTTCAATATCTTAATGATATTTTGTCTCTGACATTGTGAATCTATATAGTAATGCTTTAGCTGTTTCTCTCAATGTATTTAAAAATTCCAATCGCCGTGTGATGGATCATGACTCGCTAAGTTTAACTTTTACTTCTCTATTTGTTCTGTTGAACGAAATAGATATTTAGTAGTCAACTTATTTTTAAATTTTCATCACATAATATTTTCTCAACATCAGTCTTCTAATCATCATTTTATACCATCTTAAATAGTGCAACATTATAAAACTTAAATATAATATAGGCTAGTTTCGAATATATGACTTTAAAAAAAATCGTATTCACTTAGTCTTAGTCTGGCATCGTCTTTGCTATTATCGCCTAATGCTGAAATAATTATTAAAAACTTTCACATACCATTTGCCACCAGACTGCACTTTACGAAACGTACAAGGAGGTTTGACACAGTGCATTTAGCTCCGAAGCAATTTAATAACGAACTTCAAAAATGTATGGACCTGAAAGGTTAGACAAAATGCAATCGCTTCGAGTCGATTCAATGGCGAACTTTAAAAATTTATAGAAGTGACAACAATTTTTAATAAGTCACGTGATTGTCGCGCGTCAATTCCATGCAATTTTCAAGTTCGCTATGGAATCGCTTATAACGAATGCACTCTGTCTAAACCCCCTGGCAATAACGTTCGATAAGTCACGTGATTGTCGCGCGTCAGTTCCATTTTGTCTAACCCCACATATGCACTTGCAAACATGGTCATTAGTTAAGGATATCTATATTTAATATACACTAATATTAATAGATTCAGTCCCAACTTTACTGAATTCGGTTTCTTAATCTTGTTAAGCTTCAATATAATATGTTATAATGCGTATTTATAAAAAAAAACTAGTCAGTAAGTTTATCGAGAAATACTATTAAATATTTCTTATCATACCAACCAGTACGTTTAATAAAAATTGTCATTATCAAATTAATTATTCTCTCATCGCTTTAAGTGTAATTTATTAAAAAAAATATAAATTAACAAAATATAAATGTGTCGTACACAATATTGGCATTTCGCTTTGTCTTAAACGTTTAGTATTAATTATAATTGTACGTTCCAACTTGTATGTTGTTTAGGTTAATTGTAACCAACTTATGTATAAGTGCCAACGTTTTAGTCCTCGCATTTAAATCACGAAATCATATTTAGATAGACAACGCCATCTACAGCATGACGAGAGAAACTTTCCCTCGGGAAGGAACTTCTAGAAATTCTGGTCATAATACTTTAAACACGTAGGAAGTAGAAAGTACTATATTAATAGCTAAAGGTTATATTACCATAGTTCACAATTGTCTTTTATCACAATTCTAGCAGTATAAATAGAATGTTGAATATAATCGAAACTGTTTTAAGGAAATTAATTATTAATTATTATATGAAAAGTAGAACAATACTACAACTATGTTATTGATATGAACAGTAATGGAAATGCATTCCATTATTTACAGAATCTTTCTCTCTTTTGCAATAATTAGTACATCTTTAGCTTGGATTTCCATTGTCAAAACGTAGAATATATTGCCATCCCTTTCTGTCCCTATGAGAAAAAAAGAGATAAAAACCCCTTTTTTCTTTGTGTAGAAGTTAAAACCTACCGTTAATGCACATTGAATGTCTATCGTAATCACATGTCATTTAGTAATTCTTAATCATTATTATTTGTAAAATACGGTTGTAAAAATTCGTAAATGTTTCGCAATTAATTTTAAAATGTTATTTGTGTTTGACAGTTGTATAAATGATGGACAAATCTAGATATGGTTTCGTTTAATTATAATTATTAAATGGAGAGATTAATTTCCTATGTACGGCTGCATTTTTATTTCTATTGTCAGTAAGAAATGTAACAAATTGTTACCGTGATTTTTCAAAGCCGTAACAAAAGAACATATTGCTATCTCTTTCATTATCTGTGACAAAACAGAGATGACAACGCTTTTGTACACATGTAAGTGTAGTCAAACCATAGCAGGCTTATTAACTAAGGTTTGATTCCACCTGGAGTGTAGTATTATAGTAATTATCATGATTTTCTGGTAAATTGGAATTAATTCAAATTTTTATGTTCCGATTTTGTACCCCAAGTAAATTCCCGCCCTCTGATTATAAGTTCTTAACAATGTAATTATTTTTGAGTAATTTTTCACTAAGATTTGGTTTTTAATAACACCTCCACCGTTTTGTAAGAAATTTGTCTATTTAGTATTATTTTCTTACCTCCATAGATTTAGTTACGAAATATCATAACTTTTGAAGCAAATTAATTTATTTACATGTCAGATATTTTTTTCTATTTTGTATATGATTAATATTAATTTGTACAGAATCATTAAATGTTGTGTCATATAGAAGCAAGAAGTATTTTTTTGTTTAACTTTATTTGTATTTTACTTATACTTTTGGAATGTAAGTGAATAAAAAAATGTCTAAGCAAATTTAGTTTCAATTTTGAAAGTTTACAGCGCCATCTAGTATTGAATAGCGTAAAGACGACGGTAAATAAGGAGGATGGAAAAGAGCGGTTGGATTTTGATAAACTTTGGAAAATAATAAAGTTAAGGAGAAACTGAAAATATTATAAAATAGAATAAGGAAATAAGATTAGCACGCACTGTTTGTTTGATAATATATTTCTAAAATCTGTCTTCTAAATTCCATCCAAATCCTAATTCTGGATCCGCCGCCGATTCCACCTCCGTAGTTACATTATATGTAGTTACATTATATAGTTAGTTACATTTTATAATGCCCACTGCTACATACAAAAAGAGACGAAAAATAGTACGACGAGTATATTTACTTACATAGCTTTAGTTAATAGAAAGGCCAAGTGCATATGGAGATCGAGGTCGACGACCTGACGGTGTATTTCGCGGCGCGAGATGCTGCGATACGGTCGCTATGGCAACGCGCGCCAAACAACCAACAACCTCTGCGCCATGAACATGACGTGGACAATACAAAGAAAAATTTTAGTAGCTACTATTTATGATGTTATTTCACATATAGATTTCCAATAAAGTAAAGAATAATAAAAATACTACAAGTACGTCAAAAGATGAACTTTTTTAAAAAACATACTTAGTTCAAACCTTTTTCATATTTTAGTATAAAAGAAGGTATCAAAAATTATAATCTGCCAACAGCACAAACGCATTAATTTTATTTATCAATAAACGTTACCGAAGCACTGCTTTTAAACTTAACTTACTTAGTGCTTTTACCTTGACTTTAGTAATTAAAATTGCCTTTTACAACAATTACTTTAAAATTATAATTTAACTTATGTAACACGAAAATAGCGTGATTTACATGAAAAAAAACAACCAAATCTACAATAGGCTACATATAATTGTTATAAGAATTCTGACATCCTGAGCTTTTGAAGGTTAATTTTAATATTTTACTATAATTTAGTTAAATTTTGTTGGAAAAAATTTATATAGTTGGTCTGCGATCAGGAAAAAATCAACATTCATATCAATTCTAGCTTGTGTTGTAGCAACTTTCAAATTTAGAACAGAAGGAGGCAAACTAGCAGCGGGAACACCGAGGTGAGGTATACGAATTTATTAGGACACTTGTGAAGTTTCTTCAACTTGTAACGTTCTCATTTATGTTTAGAATAAATCGATTAATTGCAATACTATAGGCTAAGGTCAAGGCTCGTAACAACTAACTATTACTGTTAATCAGAAAAATACGTCATTATTATAGCTAAAGTCGATTCCGCTAGTGACCAAGCTTCAATGGTTAAGCGTTCTAATTATTATCATTCATTCAGTTGGGTTATGCAGAGTTATTATGTTATGTACTCGTATATTAGAACAATATATTCAAAGCCTAGCTAATAAATAATAGCTTTCACTACTCGCTTACCTATTATTCCTAGAAAAAAAAACTTTACTAGAAGTTAATCAAAATTCGAAACATTTAAAATCGATCGTCATTTTTCTAAAATTATTATTACTGGGGCCTAGTCCCAGTAGTAGACCTAGTCCTATTCAACGTGTTTAGAAATATATATTTAACAAGTTAATTTTATAATGTTACTTTGTTTCATTTTTAAGTATAGCAACTTTTAAAGGAAATAATGACATCACACATAGTCCCAGTAGTCAACATTCACCTTTAAAATAATCAATAACTCGTGGATTTTATAGCGGTGGCAATAGTAATTTGTAGAGTGCAGCGCACACAGACTGACACGCAACGCCCCCTGTCCGCTGCACTCGTATAATGTAGAAAAGTCCGGATATCTATGAATTCACCTTTAGCCTAAAATGCATAAAATAAAGTTGTCCATTTAACGCTCAAACAATCTGGAATCCGGAATCGTTTTTTTTTTAAGTTTGAGTATTTTCGCGTGGTTTGACAGAAGTAAATTTTGTCGGAACAGCTAATTGCAGTTTCAGTAACGAGAATTAACACAAAATTTGTAAACTAGTCTTACGTCCTACATAAGGGCTATCTAGCAGATTTCTGTCTATCTTTAACCAATTTTTTTTTGCATCCATAAGAATATTTTAAAAAAAAGCAGAAAAGTACTTCTTTAATTTGTTGTGCCTAAGAAAAGGAAAGTAAAAGTTTTAATAACATTAATGGATGTCGGGGCGTTTCAGGCAAAAGATTTTTACATGTTATGTTTGTACGTGAGCTTTAATTTCCATGAAGGCGAGGGCGGCACGTGGGCAGCGGTCAGTCGTCGCACCGCGGCCGTCGCGCGCTGGACATGGCGAGCGACCTCTCGTAACCACAACACGAAACTAGCAGCCATGGCTGAGGATATTCCAGGTCTGTTCTATTTTCAAATTATTCGAAAAAAAAAAACATTACTACTTTCGCGCCAATTAATTTGACATTAAAAACTTTAAGTTTTAAATGTAATTTAATGTCGAATTGATTATTCTTAAAGCAACAACTATTTGTAGCAAAACTGTTGGACAAAAGAAAATTATTGTTTTATAGAATAAACGGTGTATTCTTGTAACTTGATTGCCCTTAAATTGCTATTGATTTTGTAATTCAACTAGATTTAGGTCGTATCAATGAAAACATTTTGTATGTCCATATCTCACAAATTTTTGATAAATTAAGAAGTAGATTGGCAATCTAATTTCATCAAAAAGTCATGTACCTAATTATTATGAAAGTGAAGTATCCTTCTTGATCGTTAACTTCCCTTTCTTATGTGTTTTCCAACACTTAAAAATGGTGATCAATCAATTTAAGCGGAATAGATTGGTTATACTGTATATTAAATAGCATTACATACTTTTTAAATGATAACAATAGTCAACATCTTTATGACTTCTGAAATAATAATATTTACTATGAATAAGAGAGAGCGTCGGTGGCTCAGTGGTCAAGCACTTGACTTGCAATCTGCAGGTCCTGGGTTCGAATCCCGCCATGTACCAATGTGTTTTTCCATTTTCCGATTTATATATGTACATTTATCCGACGTTCTTACGGTGAAGGAAAACATCGTGATGCAACCTGCACATGTCTGAAGAAATTCAAAGGTATGTGTGAAGTCAACCAACCCGCACTTGGTCAGCGTGGTTGACTATGGCCTAGTCGCCCTTAAGTTAGGGTAGGCTCCGAGCCCCTCGGTGGGGACGTACAGTACAGCTGATGATGACTATGAATAATATTTGGGCATTTAATATATAGGTATATATTAATCCTAAGTAAAATAGTAATCAAAACTCAATTACGGACCAAACCTCCCGGTAATCTGTCCCTAAATATGAAAAAACTGGCTAGTACTATAAAATATATTTCCATGTGTTGCAAATATAAGACAACTAACACAGATTATTTTTAAAGAATATCATGGACATAATCTACGTTTTAGT